ACACCTAAATGCAGATCCAGATTACCTCGGAAGGATATATACAGTGAGTTATTAAAGTTCACTGTTGCAGCCTTAACTTGTAATCCTTGTTCCTGTGGAAATTCTATCTGCTTTAGGAATGCAAATTCTTGTGACTACTTTAGCATTTCAACAGGGCTGTGAATATGTATAAGCACAGAAGAAATTCTTTTGCTTGAAGACTTTTCAGAAACCTGTTTCTTTTTCATGTTCCTAGATTTGTTGTTACCTTATGTTTCACATTAAACTTTGCAACAAGCTCAAAAAAAGAGTCAACAGTCTTGAAAGTGAATGCTGCTGGTGTCTGGTGCCTTCCTTACACTTGACAAAAATGCAGATACAGATTTTTTTTTCCTTGATTTGATGCTCCTTCAGAAACTTTGCTTTATTTTAGGGCTTTGGATAAGTAGTTATTTTTTGAACTTGACCTCCTAAGCAGCAGTGGCTCTGAAAAAACTCCCTATCCTGTGGAATATGCATTTTTGTTCTTTACAGGGGGTAAGTACAGGCATGACTGGTTATTTTTATAGCAGTCTTCATAGCATTTATGCAGGAAACTTTTTTGTGGTAATGTTTGAAGCAGCATTTATTAGAGCAGTACTAGTTTACTTGCATCAAAGTTATGTTCCTCTGCTCTTTTATTGATGGTGCTTGATTTCTTGTTTCTGAATGAAATTAGGTATGATCTTGGACAAGATATAGAAAATAAAATTTTCATTTAATATGCTGCAAACTTTTGCATTTAGCATTGCAGTAAGAGGGTGAAAGTACCTTTGGACACTTGCAATGTTTAAGTTACTTCATTTGTAAACTGCTCTAATTGCATGAGTGGCAGAAACAGAACTAGAACCTTCAAGAGGCATTGGTGACATCATTAGCAAATACAACTTGGGAAAGGCAGTCCCAGCTCCTAATGCAAAATGAAGCAATTCAGATCAGTATAATCACATTTACAAATTCTTTATGGAGGCTACTTGTGAGCAATTGGCTAAAGAAAAGCACTGACATTTTGAATATACAGAAAAATTATTTCTGAATACACCTAGTATTTTGTGTTACTGCTTTTCTGGAACATCTCTTACATAGGTCCAATGTTAAACCCAATTATTTTTGTGTACTTTTGTGATTAGTTTGACTGTGCTCTTAGCAGCGTTGTGTATGCTTGCAGGATCCAACCCCTGGAGAACATTTTAAAATTCTGCTTGGTAGAGAAAAAAACTTTTGTTTCCTGATTGTATTTCTTTTGATAGTTCAGGTTTAATATCCTTATCATTTTGATTCTTTCTAAAGGATACTGTTTAGCATGACTTAACATCATGCATTCTCAGAGGTAGATTTCCTTGAGCTCCAATTTCTCTGTTGGGTTTGTGGCATCTGATGGATGTTGGAAATTTTCACCATGTTGGTTGTCTGGCTCAAAGTTGCAAATGGAAACCACAAAACCTTTTGAAATAAAACTGCAGCACGTTTGTGATAAATCACAGGATACTTTTCCATCTGAATATGCTTCATTAGCTTCCCTTGTGTGGTGCTGCTCATTAGATGGCACGTAGGAAAAAACCATTCCAGCAGGAATCCATCAGGCATGGAGAGCCCCCGTGTGTTAGACATGGACGTGCATTAAAGATTAAACCACGTTTCACTGCCCTGTTTAACTGTATTAAAAGCACTTTACACACTGGGCAGGTGCAGAATAACCTTCTACTCAAGATGCTACTTTTGAATTTTGCCAGTGTTCACTTTCCTTCAGCGGTTATGTTGTTTTTTTATAGTTCCCACAGCACAGAAACTTAATTCAGGAAATTATGGCTAAATCAGTTACCCACTGAAGACTTTGAGCTGGAAGCTTTCTAGGATGACACGTGCACCTTTGCATCAGTTTAAAAAAAAAATCTCCAGCTGCACCATTCACTTAAAAAGCTCATATTTTACAGTTAGTTCCTTTGGTTGGCTTCTCTGTAATTTTCTTTGTTAGTTGGAAAATTCAGAAGAAAAACACTCCCTTTTTTAAGGAGAAAAAGACATAAGGAATGGCAAACAACTAAATTCATTTAGAACTTTTGATGTGACATGAGGCATAATGCAATGGTACTCGCCTGTAGCATTCAATAAGTACATTGAAAATACTTGAAGATTTCCGGTAAAAGAGAAATCTGGAATTACTGGAACCTCAACAGCCGCTGCCATCACAGTAATATTTCAGTTCTGTAAGGTTTGTCCCTGCAAGTGTAATGGGAAGGACAGAGGTTCAGGAGGTGCCTTGCCCATGGCAGGAAATGCGTGTATGAGAAGGTCTTGGTGAGGATGACAGCAGCTGAACCACAGCAAGGCCCTGTGGTCCTTCTCAGCTTTTGCTCATCCCATGGAGCACTTTGGGTCAGAGTGTGGTTCCAGCAAGTCTGGCTCACCCACAGCTGCTGGAGTACCCCTGCTGCCAGAAGAGGGTATCCCAGCTGAGCTCCTGCAACCCCCCTGCAGTGACTCAAGGACAGCCCTGGCATCCTTGGGCCATGAGAGATTTCAGACTTTTAACCCTGGCATCCTTGGGCCATGAGAGATTTCAGACATTTAACCCTGGCATTGTTGGGCCATGAGAAATTTCAGCCATTTCATCTCCAGTTCCCCTGGGAGGTGGAAGAAACACCATTAGAGATTTCAGCCATGTCATCTCCAGTTCAGTTGGGAGGTGGAAGAACCATAGTTACCTGCCCCTGAGAGGGAGTGCTGCAAAGGAATGTGTTAACGTGCATGGATTTTTATTCAAGGTTACTATTTCTATAGACTAAAACATAAATTTGCAATGATATTTTTTTAAGTTGGGCATAAGAATTCAGACCATTATTTTGATTTTGATCCTTGTCACAACTTTGTGTGCTGCAGCTCTTTCTGCAGCAGTGTGTGCTTTGCCAGTGCTGCCCCCTACCCCCCTTATTTTTTTTTTTGCTAATGAGATGGTTCAAACTCTTTTTCATTACTTGAATAAAGCAAGGAGATCTCTGAAGAACAGCACCAAGAACCACGTGTAGCATGTGCCAGAAATTGCAGGTCCTCTGATAGAAGGTCCATAGGTGCTGCAAAGGCTCAAAACAACAGGCCAGAGGTAATGGAGATGTTTTCTGACTGCTTGGTCTCTAAATGTCCTTGCCCTGGAGAGCCTAGTTTTGTAAATTAGCAGTGCTGATTGCTGCTGGTGGCATTTTTAATGGAACTGAGCTTAATGCTAGGAATATATGGTAAAAGTCAGATTTAAATAACAGAACTAATAAGCCAACCCATAGTATTTTGTTGATTCTAAGTGGTAGAAGATGGTATTTTAGTAATCCCTGTATTTTACTTCACCCATGTTTAGACACACAGGGTGATTTAATTGGAATTTCTAACATTTCAGTGCTTTAATGTTCTGAAACATATTAGCTCTGCCTTAGCAGTTAGTGTTTATTCAATCTCAGAGCACTGTAGGGTCATTAATCCTTCAAGCCCTCCTGAGAAGTCAGAGATGGGAGACACTGGAAGTCATATTATTCTAATTTTACAAGTGGGAAAACTGAAGTGATGAATAATGTGGTCAAGGCCACACAATGAGGCAGTGTGAGCTCTGAGATGTTCTGGCTATTAAGCCCAGTGGTCAGGCCAAGCCTTGCAACATTCTCTTTTTAAATTATACACTTTATTGTGATTAAGGTGCCTTGATGGTCCCATCATCTGTCTAGGTAGAAAGTTTAATAAGTTGAGCATGGCTACAATAAAGACTTCCAAACAAGGAAAACACTGAAATTACAGCCTGTATTTAATATTACTTTCTTTATGTTAAGTTTTCACAGAACATAATTAAACATTGTCTCTCTGCCAGAAAGTATTTGTATTTACAAAAACTAAATTATTGATATCAAGTTATTTTCCAAGAGATCAGATTGTTCTTGATTTTGATTGCAGAATAATGATAAATACTGAAAGATGTTTTAACCAACTTCAGGGGTTTTTCGAGAAATAGTGAATGTGTGGTATGAAAATTCATTTTACAGAATTAGAAAAGTTCTCTGAGCAGCATCTTGAGAATTTTTCAATAGAGTACAAGTGGTTGTTTGCAGATTGTAACATCAGTTGCATAAATAGATGTACTTTGAAATAGCAGCTTATTTGATAGGGCATAAGCAATGCTTTTGTGTAGTGAAAGGGATCCGGTTTTAGTGTTTATCTGAAACTTTTTCTTCTCCACAAATGGGTTAATTGCTGCCATCTCTTGTGCAAGATTTTCAGGTTTTGTTTCAGTTCCAGCCAGTCTTTGTCTTAAAAAATGACATAGCCTGCAATATTAGTCTAAAAGGAATTTCACAAGAGATTCATTTCATCCAAACACTAAGCATTTTGTATATATGACTGATCTCAGTAGTGAACCCCTGCAAACTTCAGCAGCACGTCTAATATTTTAATAAGCAGCTAATATTTAGCCCATCCATTAAACCACTCCATAAATGAATTATTGAGCGCAATCTGCTCTCCCGTGCCCACCTTCCTTTCCCACAAGGCTGTGGTTTTTAGCTAAGCCGGCGTGGAGCTCTCTTATCTCCAAATAAAACAAAACGGCTCCGCCGAGCGCCTGCACTGCCGAGCCCGGCGGGGGAAGGCAGCGGCAGCCGGGGGCTCTCGCCTCTCTCGGCAGCACCGGCAGCGCAGATGGACAATCACAAATCCTGTCCCACGGCACCGTGAGTGATGCCGGTGTAGCGGGAGCCTCGGGCAGCGCTTCCCCGCCGCGCCAGGACCTCGCTCCGCGGGACAGCGGGACACAGGGACAGCGGGACACACGGACAGCGGGACACACGGACACCGGGCTGCCGTGCCCCGGGCTGCGCTGGATGCTCCGCGGGCTGCAGGGCCGGCCGCGGCCACCCGGCTCCTCCGACCATGAAACCCTGGCAGCTGCTCGCAGGCGTGGGAGATGCCCTTCAGGTGAGGCAGCGGCGGCTCCGGAGCGGGCGGGATCCGTCCGGTGCCAGCGCCCGAGCCCGGCTGTGCCCGCCGGGAGGGGCCGGGGCATGCGGGGCTGCTGCGGCCGGGCTGCCCCACCTGGGGGGCCAGGTGAGGGGATGCCGGCCAGGTGAGGGGGATGCTGGCCAGGTAAGTGATGTGGGGATGCCCATCAGGTGAGGGGGATGCTTGCCAGGTGAGGGGTGGTGCGGGGATATTGGCCAGGTGAGAAGATGTGGGGATGTCGGTCAGGAGAGGGGTGCGGGGATATCGATCAGGTGAGAAGATGCGGTGATGCCGACCGGCTGAAGAGACTTGGGACTGCGGGCCAGGTGAGGGGGTGCGGGGGTTTGTTGCTGCCGGGCGGGTGAAGGGATGCGGGGATGCCGGCCGGGTGAAGGGATGCGGGGATGCCGGCCGGGTGAAGGGATGCGGGGATGCCGGCCGGGTGAAGGGATGCCGGGCGGGTGAAGGGATGCCGGGCGGGTGGAGGGATGCGGGCTGCGGGCGCGGCCGGGCTGGGCTGGGTGCCGGCCCGGAGCCGAGGGATGCTGCGGGGCTGATCCGGGTGCGTGCTGTGCTCAGCACTCAGCGGTGCTGCCGCGAGCGTGTTTCTCTGGCTGTGAGCGCTCCTCGGCGAGATGCCGACAGAAAACAACGTGCGGGAGGGATTATCCATCCTCCCTCCGCGTTTGGCTGAAGTTTAGGTGAACTTCATCTTCAGAAAGCTGCTTGGCTTTCTGTGGATGGAGTATGTATTAGCATTTATATGAAAGAGAGCAGGAGTCTCATTAGAAGGGGGTTTGTCAGGTGCATTATTGCCTGGTGATTATTATTGCAGGCAGGTTACAGGATTTCTGACCAACGTGGGTGCCTGTTTAACTTTAGGGTCCCTGTGTGTCACCAGCACAATATACTGATCTTAGAAAACACAATTTATGAGTATTTGGAGGTTTTATTACTTTATTTGTTAAAATGCATGGGGTATAACAGCAGTAGTGTTTTGTTAATAAATACAATTTAAACACACAGGTAATTTTGGCTAATAATCCATTTATATATTTACATTGAAAAAAGGCAGGAACAGGATATAAAAGACTAGGATTTAAAAATGCCTATCGGTTTCCAGCTGAATATAATTGCAAAGTAATTTAAATACTTTGTATTACTTTAGCAATATTATTCCTTTAAAAACCCACACACTTCAAAGTGTGCAAAAAATGTTGAGGGGGATGAATGGGGAAGGTGGATTTCTCTAGCTTTTAAAATAAAGGACTCTTGTCCAGACTCCTAATAGGGATAGAATATTTTTGAAAGACTTGCTGTCACATGGAGGAGTCTCTGGCTCAGCCCAGTAGTGGAATGCTGGGCTCTGCAGTTCCGACACCATAAAATCACATTGCTTCCAGGACTGTAGGTTAAATTCCACCTCAGGTGCTTGATTTTGAAGGCATTTAGTAAGATCCGAAACAGCCTTTGTATTGTCCCTTCTGTAGGAATAAGAAGTTTGGTCGTACCATAGAAGCAATTACATAGAAAGTTTGCATTTTTTCTTAAGAATTATTTAGAAAAATCAGTTTACATGCAGTACATTGATTCCATGTGTATTTCTAAAATGAAGCAACAGATAGGTAAAAAGTTTGAATGTCTTGATATTCTGACTGTACATTGCAGCTTTTTTCTTAGCTATTTAATGTTCCTGGTATTGATCTGTTTCTTGAACATGCAAGTAAGGCTGAAGAGTGAAAAAAACTCCTTCTCAATGAACATAGTTCCCTTTTCTACAGCAGAAGCAGTAGTGCTTTGGAGAATTTTTAGTTTTTCAGATTTGAATCATTTAATGAAAAAAAAAAAAAAAAAGTGGACTTTGGGATTTTATCCTTTACAGAGGCTTCTCTGTGAGTGCCTGGGTATTGTTTGTCAATCATCAGCTTTACTTCCTTTAAACCTATGGATCTAGAGGGGTTTGATTATCCCTTTGGGGTTCTCCTTCCCAAAGCAGTGTTTTTTTTGGCCTTTGAGATGCTGTGAACACACAAAAGCTGCCATTGCCACTGCCTGCTCTGGGAGCTGTGGGCAGGAAGTTCCATTTAATCAGGGTCTCTCCACATCCAGCACCCCGATACCTCGAGGAGTGTCAGCACAGTTCATGGCACCCCTTTCCAGGCACCGTTTTAGAAACTCGGAGCTTTGTATTCTTGCCTACTCCCACTTAAATAAATATTTGAAATCAGAATAACTTAACAATGGATGGATGAAGCAACTTCAAGGTGTTACCTTCAATCTTTGCAACTTCAAGGTGTTACCTTCAGTCCTTCCAACTTCAAACCACTTACTTCAGCAGCATCATTATCATGGAATTGCTCGAATTTATTCTTCTTGTAGTAGAAGTTTCACATAGGATCTCAGTTTTGCTCATACACGAGAAAACTTTTCCAGGAACAAGTAATAAATTGATTGTTCGAGTGGTCAGCTTGGTGGTATTTGAAATGCTAGAAATGGTTGAGAGAAATGTTCTCAAGAGTAGCATTGGATGTTTGGGCTTTTCTTCTTGTAAGGAAAAATATTGCTATTAAATTTTTAATTAATTTTATGAAGATAAATATCTTAGAAGTGGTAACTAAAGCATCAATTTAAAGAGGAGAAGAGGGAGAAATGTGGTCAACTCATGTTTTTAGGTTATTGTGATGGTAATTGTGAAAAAGTAAACTGGGGAAAAAATACATAGGGAATTTCAACTATAGAAAATATCTAGTCTGAAGTTTACTTTGTATTTTAATTTAAGCAAGCAATGAATATTTTTTAACTCCTTAGTAAAAATCAAGCTACTAAAGTCAAGCTTTCAGTTGATTTCAGTGATAGGGATTTTGGAGTTTTTGTTAGAAGGATTGTGTCACATGATCATACCTTTCTAGGGTTTAGAGATGGGAACAAAGACTTCAGAGGGCCTCGATTATTTCAGAGAGTTTTTCAGTGTTTTGGGGGTTTTTATATATATGTTTCAGGATTGAGACATAATTTATGGCATCTCCTAGGAACTAAGCATAATTTATTTGAGGATAAAGTTTTGAAACTATTACTGGGCCATAAATAGGTATATTTCCAATCTAGGTGAAAATCAGCTTAGCAGAGTTATCTGCCTTTAATTCCTGTTGAAATGTGTGACAAGGGAAGAGAATGTTTCTCCTAAGCTGAACTGAGAGATCAGGAATTCAGGAATACACTGATCCCCAGCTGCTGGCTGTGCCCAGGGATGCCTTCTGGAACACAAGAAGTACACAGTCACCAGATGGAAGAGAAATACAGGCTTGTCCTTTCAAAGGGCACATCACAAATACGTTTTATTTAAAATCCAAACGCTGTGGGACTGCATTAGGGTGAGATAGCAGTGGAAAGAAATAAATGTGTCACTGCCAAAACTCTCCTGTGGTGGCATTTCCTTCTAAGTTTACTGTGTTAGCTGTGGAGTTCTTTGTCTGTAGGAATAAGTCTTTTCCATTTTATTTTATTTTTATTTTCTTTGTAAGGTATCCAGTGGAGATGTTAAAGAACGTGGCAAAGTCGCTGTCTCCAGTGGCTCTGTGCACTCACTGCTTTTACCTGAGCTGAACTTCAGTTTGGACAGTGTGGGAACGTGTTTGCTTTGGCGGATTGGAGTTGAGTCCAGCATTTCTGCTTTCTGTTTGTCCTCACCATGCCTGTTGCTCTTTTCATTTCCCTTATCTGTGCTAAATTGCAGAGGCTGTGATTCCCTTCATTGTCTTTGAAAATGAAGCACAGTGTGGCTTCCTTCACCAGGTTGCAATCAGAGACTTTTTTGTTTGGTTGGGTTTTTTTGCTTTTTTTTTTTTTTTTTTTTTTTTTTTTTTTTTTTTTTTTTTTTTTTTTTTTTGTTCTGTAGTTAATTATAGATTTCATGCACAGCAATGAGGCTTCTGCAGAGAGAAATTTTACTGATGGTCAGGAATATTTCAAAAATTGCTTTCGTCTCACAGGAGTGGAGACACGCAAACTTTTTCTATTAAAATGGAGAAACTTCTTGAGTCAGCAGTAAAATCCAGATTCAGCAAAACTGGGTTATGAATCCGAGCAATTAAACATGACAAAGAGCCCAGTTTTACTGCCTGGACTTAATAACCTTCCAGTATTTTTTCTGAGACATAAAAACTTCAAAACGTTCTTTTGTATCAGGTGTTGACAAAAACAAGGTATTCCTCCATACCCCACAAATTCTTGAAAATCCCTTGCATTACTTTTGCACCCACAGTTTTTATTTAAGTATTTTTATTCTCAGGAGAAAGAAACATTGTTATTTTCCTCTGTTTTGGATACCTGGAGTTTAGCACCTGCTCATGAATTACTTGCATTTTGGTAGAGATAATTAAAAACACACTGGTTAAATATTTAGATATTATTGAAAGAAAATTTTAAATCAATATTTAATACATATGAAATATAAGGTTTTGCTAATGATGGTTAGAAATCCCTTTAGTGTTTTCACGTGGAAGAGCAGAGGATCCATTTTGTTGTTGTGTTTTTGGTTCTTTTTTAATCTTCTGTTTTTATGCATTTGATGTTCAGAAATTTTAAGGAGATTTCCTCTCTGGTAATTATGGCAAATTTAGTTGGGAAGAGGAGGGGAGGGACATAAGCAGATGTAAATCATGGCACTGATGACTAATGGCCCAGCCTGAACTTGATCAAAACGTCAGCAAAGATTTTCTGTTCACTGCTCCTATGGTGGAGATTGATGGGAAATCCTGAGAACAACCTCCCACACTTGGTAATGTGAATTATTCTGCTTGTGCTGTGCTGCTCCCTGGACAGGTGTTTATGTCTTTTTTAACTTAAATGTTTTCCTTGTTAAAGTTGACCTTTCTGATTCCATGACTAATAGGAATCCAGGAATGATGTTTGATCGTTTTTCCAGATAAATGAGTTGTAGCTTACATGAGGACTTGTTTCTGACTGCTAATTAACCTGACTCTAATGGCTTCTTTAACTGTGAAAACCTCTTACACCAAGTGAGAGGCACATGTGGCACTGAGAACTTGCACTACTACCTGATGCTCTTAACAAAACCAGCATCATTTTGGGAATTTAAACTGAGCCTGAGTGCCTTTGGAGAACTGAAGCAAGTCTTCTAATAA